CCAAGCTTAGTCTTCAAACCCCACACCCCGAACCCCATATCCCAATCCCGGAAACCCTAAACCCTAAAACCCTAGAGCCTAAACCCCTGAAGCCCTAAACCCTAAACCCTAAAAACCTTAACCCTAAACCCTAAACCCCTAAACCCTAAACCCCTAAACCCTAAACCCCCAAACCCTTAAACCCTAAACCCTAAAACCCTAAACCCTAAAACTAATTTGGTACTTTCACCCTTGGGGAGGGATTTCTAATAGTCTACAATACAGTACACGAAAATACAAGACAATTGCATGTCATGCCGTGTCATGTCACGTCGTAGCACATCATGTACAGTACTACTGCAGTGAGCTCGTTGATGAAGGTTTGGCGAGTTTAGGTTTTCCGGCTTGCGACGTTTCGTTACTCTGAGCCCTGAGGGGACCGAACTATGGAGTGTAGGACCGTGTAGGTTTTTGGGATTGGGGATTCAGGGGTTCGCCTTCGTTCTAACGAAGATGGCACACTTGGAGATCTTCGGGTTCTCACCACCCTACTTACAGGCGACTTCCTGAGTTCCCTGCGCCTTGATTTTGGGGAATCATTGTTTCCTCTTGGTCTCGGGGTTCCCTATAAAACCCTAAACCCTAAGCATTAAACCGTGCAGGATGCAACCAGGGATAAACAGAGCATCCTTTGTAGCTGACGTGTTGCTTGTCCGCCCTTTCTGTACGTGCAGACATGGTACCGATGCTGAAGTTGCTAGGCCCTCCCTAAGAGTTTAGGGGTGTAGGAGTCTAGCTGGTACTTTGAGTCACACGGAGAAACCCTAAACCCTAAACCCTAAACCCTAAACCCTAAACCCTAAACCCTAAACCCTCGGAGGTTCCATGATAAGCTCAGAGCTCTCTTCTAATAGTTCTTAAGGCCCCTACACCCCTAAACCCTAACGCCCCTGAACTAGTCGAGGTCGAACCTGCTACCCATCGACGCAGCGAGCGTCATAAAGGACAAGCAGGCGTACGAGTTTGCTCGCCTTCCGTATTGGGGGTATTAGGGATTTAGGGTTTTGGGGTTTAGGGGTTCAGGGTTTAGGGTTTTGGGCTTAGGGTTAGGTTTTGGGTTTAGAGCTTATAGGGTTTAGATCGCCTCCCCCCTCCCAGCAGCAGACAAGAGCTTGTGGGATCTTGTGGGTCAGCGGCTTTCATCGAGTTAATATAGAGGGGTCTTAAGACCAGGGTTTTAGAGTAATTGAGGTCTTAAGACCGGGGCTTTAGAGTAATAGAGGTGTTAAAAGTAGGGTTTTGTAGAGTAGACTACATGATCACCCAGTATTCCCAGCGATTACCCAATATTTCCAGCTGGCATGTCATGTTGAAAGCTCCCCTAAACCCTAAACCCTAAACCCTAAAGTCGCTGCCACGAGTTAGGAGCTTCCTGCCCGTACTTTTCTGGCGGCCTAAATACCTGCCTACCTGTACTATTTTGGGGGGTTTCCTATTAAAGTTATAGTATCACATACCCCAAAACCCTATATTCAAATTATTATTAAGGCCCCTACTTTACAGCTTTAAGGGTCAAGGGTTCGGAAGCTAGGGTCATCGGGGACCTGCCACAACCCCGGGGTTCATCCTCATACACAGAGTCCCTTTCTGTCAGGCCAGGCATTTTAGCTCCTTCAAGCTGGAGGGGTATATGCTGGAGGACGTCGGGCTTAGGATTTAGGGGTTTAGGGGTTTAGGGTTTAGGGTTTAGGGTTTAGGGTTTAGGGGTTTAGGGTTTAGGCTTAGAGTTTAGGGCTTAGGCCTGTCGCTCGAATTGATGCAGAGGAAATCGCTGAGTCGTTGTCGAGAGTGCCTGGAAGCCTGCACATGAGATCAAGAGCAGAGCCACTGAGCTGTTGGCAGGACGAGGACATGCTCAATGTGGAGCTGTGGCTGGCCAACGCCACGAAGGCAGCGGAAGCGGCAACGTCAGGCTCATATTCCATGATAAGCCTCTCTGGATCTGCTTTTTTTGAACGTATTGCTTCGGATCAAGTTTTAATTCGGCACAAGCATCTCAAAAGTCCCGGAAGGTAGACCTTTTCCTGAACTCATAGACCCAGACCCGACACCGCAAACCTCGAATGTTCAAGTGTTCAAGATGCTGACTCTACCCATAGGCCCTAAAGTAGTTCCTTTTTGGGTTCATATTTAGAATCCTATAAGGTAATCCCAAAAAGGAACTACTATGGGGCCTATGGGTATGGTGCAGTTACACAAGGGTTCGTTACGCCGGGCAGCCTTGGGGTGCTTTGTTTCGGTTTTTGAGGTTTAGAGCTACCTGGACCCCTGCAAAACCTACTCTGGTCTTTTTGGTGGGTCCTTCCTATGACTACCTTATATGAGCCCCCAAAACCGTAGTTTAGTTGTGGTAAGGGTAGGATTCAGGCGAGCTCAGAGTTGACTTAGTCCGTTGCCTCAAGACGCGAGTGGATCGCTTGGCAGGGCTTAGGGTTTAGGGCTTTGGGTTTCGGCAGTGGACATGAAGATTTTCGATGGTAGGATAGGGCTCGGAATCATTACTAACACAAAGCCCTGACTGTCCCCGCCATAGGTAGAGGATGACATACCGTAATACCCCATCATACCTTCTGCAGCCGAAAGCCCTAAACTCCCATAAATCCTACCCTTCTTCGGGCTCCTTCTGTGATTCCCCATAGATCCTTGAAACGGTGGGCCAAGCCCTAAACCCAAGAAAACCTAAAACGCTAAAACCCTAAACCCTACCTAAAGCCCAAACCCTAAACCTTAAAACCCTGAACCCTAAAACCCTAAACCCTAAAACCCTAAAGCCCTAAACCCTGAACCCTAAAGATCCTATTGAAAAGGTGGGCTCTATGGGATTAAAGGCAAGCCCTGAAGCTCTGAAGCCTTAGACTGAAATTCCGAAAGCCTCGGAGGCAGACCGGTGATGTTTAAGGTCGGTTTAGGGCTTTAGGGTTTCAGGTTTATAGGGTTTAGGGTTTAGGGTTTCTAGGGTTTAGGGTTTATAGGGTTTATCGTTTAGGGTTTAGGGCTTTTAGGGTTTAGGGCTTTAGGGTTTAAGGTTTAGGGTTTTAGGGCTTAGGGTTTAAGGTTTAGGGCTTTATTGGGTTTAGGGTTGAAGGTTTAGGGCTTTATAGGGTTTAAGGTTTAGGTTTTAATTGGGTTTGAGGGTTTAGGGTTTAGGGCGGAGGCCCCAAAACATATTATAGAGCAACACCCTAGTCACAGCCCCTCGTGGTTTCAACTGCTTTCTCTCTGCCAGGCGTGGTGCAAGTTCGACCTTGAGCCGGCGGCCCCGGTTTTAGGGTTCAGGGTTTCGGGGTCTAGGAAAGTTTAGGATATGGGGTTTGTGGCTTGAGGGTTTATCCAGTTATGCTATCTGCATGTCTATAATTTTAAACTTTCAATATAAACATGATATATATATATATATACATATACATACGCATATATATATATATATATATATCCCAAAGACGGTAAAAACCCTGCCAACCCCTACGCTAGACCAGTAGGCTTGGCACTTTTTGAATCCCAGAGATGAGGAGAGGCCCGTGTTTCTCACAGGCTGGTCTAGGGTTTAGGGTGCTGAGCCCGAAGTCTCGAGTCCTTCCTTGGCCCAGCGTCTCAAGTCCATGCCGCATGCAACTATAGATACATCTAACAACTCAATCAAGCACACGAGCAGACTACCTTTGTATATATGGGTATAAATAAATAAACAAATAATATACATATATATATATATATATGTATGCGTACTGATGGGTATACAGCACGCATGTCTACTGTGCTCCAGGTGTATTCACGTGTTGTTAGTCATGCTGTGCTTCCACATCATACGTCCGTGTACCTATATCGACCTATGTTAATACATGCATCTGTGCTCACACCGTAGCCTGCACCAGAAACCCTAAACCGTGGCCGCGACAACCCAAAGTCAGCCCAGGCCGGACACCTACCTCAACAGGCTCATGCAAGTGTTGAGAGTCAGGAGTCGTGATTAACAGGGGTGTTCGGGGGCGGGGAGTACCACACGATGCATGACAGTGAGAAAGTCGATGGTGATGCCGTTGATGTTCGTCAGGACTGCCGTTCTGAGTTGTGACTTGGTGATCTTCTAGTAGGTAGTGCCTGTCCTCGTACTTAGAGTCCTGCTTAAAGGATCAACCAGGGATATGACTCAGGTGACTATACTTATAATAGCTTTTACGGTACTGGGTACCTTACTTGCTCAGTCCCATGATCCTCCAAACCCCATACCCTTAGCCCTGTAGACCCTCTAATGTGTCAGATCCTGGGCTTTGGGCGAAAGCTTTGGAACCTGGAATCTTAGGCTCAGGTCGTCGCTGTGCAAGTAGGGATTGCACATCTTGCCGCTCTTGCCAAAGACCCACAAAGGGGTTTAGGGTTGAGGGGTTTGGGGGTGGGGCACAGCTTTCAAGAGGGATCTCAAAGCTTGCTGCTGATGGTTTAGGCTGAGGTGGCATGTTCGGCTGCGAAGGTACTGGCTTTCCTCGCGTCTTTATGCAGACTCCAGGCACGCGACAGAGGGCTGGGGAGGAAAGGCGGAAGAGCGGCTTGTATATCGGGCTTTTGGTAGTTAATACGGACTACAAGGGACAGCTGCTGCAGCTACTACTTATTCAAACCCCTAAATATTAGCTTCCTTGTATCCTGCTGTGCGGTTCGACCTTGGTGGTCATGTGGCAACTAGCAGTCTCGCACTGCGGTCAAAGATTTGGCACACCTTATTATGTTTTACTCTTGTTTGCGATGTGCACCTGAATTGGTCTCGATGGCTGAGACCTAGGGACAACCAGAGAGACACAGAGAAGGAGCTAGTTCAAACGAACACGGTACTTTGGTGTTCTACTTGAGTAAACCCAAAAAAAGACCCTAAACCCAAAACTCTCAAACTACGGCGGGAAACCCACAGGAGAAGAGAGATAAACACAACCCTCTGAGATTCCCGATGCACAAAGAATTGCGAGGAAACGACTCCTTAATATGTTCTATGAAAATGGTTATGTTTATGTTCCGTGATGTTTTTTGTGCTTCAATAGATGGTACAGTATCATGTATTGCTATAATATGTATTGTAGCGTATGTTTCATCGCACCAAACTGTGCTATACTATACTATACTCTACTAAACTATAGTATACTATACTATACTATACTAGACTATACTATACTACATTGTTCTATACGAGACATTCCATGTTATCATACTATCCCATGTTCAACGTACTACATCGCATCGCCTTAGTCTTTTCCCAAGTTGTATGTAATTATGTTTTATTCTTTTTATGCTATACGAAGCTATCGGATACTGGCTATTAGATTCTATTCTATGCCTGTGAAAGGGCAGGATGGCGAACCGTGCATAGTAAAGCCCTAAACCCTACAGTAACCCCTCAACCCCTCAACCTTAAACCCAAACCCCTCAACCCCTCAACCCCTAAAGTGCATAATAAAGGGGTCAGAACACCTCGGAGCGCCTTGCTCAGGTCGCTCATGATATTGTGACTATAAAGGGGTTTAGGGTTTAGCTCTTAAGTTTAGGGAGTTACCGCCGGTTCCAAAAATAAAGGCCTCTGCATTAATCATACTCCCAAACCCCCTTTGCTAATTCTGAAGGTCCTCATCTTGTGTTGCTTACGGCCGGACCATCATTTTTGCTGAGACCCTTCCGAAAAGAGCGGCCGCTTTGGGTGCTCTGCTGCTAGGAATATTTGAATGAGGGATCTCGGGACTGCATCCTGCTGCAGGTGGTATCCGGATGGGGTGCCCATCATGTTCCTGTCGCTCCACAACACCAAGGACTAAGAGAATGTTCGAGCTTGTTAGTGACACGACTTTGACCGCATGTATCTTTGCGTCTAGGAGCGAGGCCTGCAGTTTCGCGGTTTGGAGTTTAGGGCTTTAGGGCGCAGGCCATGGATGGCTAATTTTAACGCATGGATGCACACATTCAGGATTTGCCTGTGGTGTTTACAGTGTAGACTCTATGGAGGCCTAGGCTTGGTGGTCTCTACCCACATACAGCGAGTTTAGGGTTTAGGGTTTAGGGTTTAGGGTTCAGAGAATTATTAATGTGTTTACAGTCCTTTGATTACAAGGAGGGCATACCCAATACATAAGCCTTGCATGCCCTGAAACTACATGCCTTGCACGTGTGCATGTATGCATAAACGAACTATGCTTGTTTATGTGCCTCCATACACACACCCACACCAATAGTTCCGGCAGATATTACTATAATGTACATACTTATTCTATTTGCACGTATGCAGGTATGAGGAGATGCATCATGGAGAGTAGAACACACAATTGTTTGTGGATTCGAAGTTTGGTCTTTCAGGCCAGCAACCCAAGCCCTCTAAAGCCCTGAGCTTCTCCAAGCCAGCGTTTGCATCTTGGAGCGGCTTGAAGCGTGACGTGCCTACTTTTTGGATGTGTCTTTGACCGAAACCGGGTCCTGTTGGGCTCCTGCGCTTGCGCAAGAGAACTTGAATGCGCGACTTCATTCAGGGTCGGTGTTGGGGGACTCTGTTTTAGGGTTGAGTGCCCTTGCCAAGCAGAGCAAAGATGTCAGGATTTCGAGACGACAGACAGGCCCTCCCACTGGCTGGGTCGGAGGATGCAGGGATGGAGAGTCCAGTGCTTTTCTTTCCGTCGTTCTCGCATGCAATCCCTAAGGGTCCATGTACCCAAATAGTAGAACATTGGCCCCAAAGTACCCATATAGGGACTACATTAAGGCCAATGTTCTACTGTATGGGTACATGGACCCTTAGGGAATGGGTGCACAGGACTTGAAGCGCGTAGGGCAGAGTGTTTGCGGAGGGTGGGCCGGGTTCCACGGGAAAGCTCCTATTCCTGAGGCCCACTGGTCCAACTTCCTGTCAGCAGCCCCCAAGTATATGACCATATATAATATATAATATATAATATATAATATATACTATATAAAAAATATATGAATAAATATAAGAATATATATATATATATATATTTATTTATTTATATATACACATATATATATATATATATATATATTTATTTATTTATATATACATATATATATATATATACACATATATATTTATATATACATATATATATATATATACACATACACCGAAACAAAAGGACCCTAGGCATGCCTCTATATCATACCCTATATTTCCCGCCAAAGCCCCAACCTGATATCCCGACAACCGGGGAGCATGCAGGCTTCTCACCATTTTGGCCCACTGTTCGGACCCCGACTTCGTGAATCGTAGCCACTGCTCTTCGCGGGGCCCTGAGATCAGCGGGATGGACTGTGGTTGATGATGATAATGCTGGCATCGACAGTTGTGTTTTTCTACGTGGCGGCGATGGTGCTGGTGCACATGGCCGTGACGGTGACGGTGATGAGAATGATGGCCATGATGGGTCATGATCACGACATGATCCTGATGATGACGAGGGTGCACTATCATACTCGTCATTTTCGTCATCATACTGGCGAAGACTTCGTCGATGATGCCGAACATGCGGCCACTGATCATAGATGGGCCGACAGAGCATTACCACCACTTAGCGTTTCTTTCTTTTCTAGCAAGTGCATGTCGTGTTTGTTGTATTGTTGCCCGATGGCTCGCCTGGTTATTCCCGGTGACTTGGCGACTGGCGCTACTGCTCGTGACTCTGGTGTTGAGCAAAAGCCTGAAAGCCCTGAAAGCCCTGCTTGACAACCCACTCAGACTTCTTGCAGCTCCTTGTTGCGGACTTTCACAAAGATGTTTGGAGTTTGACCTATTCGAGTCGCAACAAGCTGAGTCGGTCCAGTTTGCGTTCCGGCTCCTCAGGCCGACGGGAAGGTTTGGTGGTTCTAGGTGTAGGGTTTGAGAAGCTCTGCAATTCCTTTCCGAGTAGCTACCAGCCTACCATCTGAGTTACTTCTTCGTCTTCCGAAATGACAGCCTAGCCCTATACTCCCCCAGGTACCTTCTCTTAATTTATGGTATACTTGAGCCCCTAGGCACTATATAGTAGGTACCTGGCGGGATAGGGAAGTTTCGTCTTCGTGTTCAGAATTCAGTGCTTTATACTCGTACGGTATTGGGCTTCGGGATGCAGCCTCCAACCTTCGATGTCGCCGTAAACCCCAGTGAATGGAAACGCGGCCTAGGAGTCAGTCGAGGTAGTAAAGGTATAATAAGGTTATAACTGTTAATTATAGTCTTAAGAATAATAGTTACACATATATACATATATGTATTTATGTACTGTTTCTCAGGATTCCTTCCATAGCAGTCTCTCAAACCCTGTTCTAATAGGGTTTACGGTTTAAGGGTTTAGTTTTTCAGAGTTTAGGATTTTAGCCGAGATGCTGGATCCTCCGACTTCCCTCCACCCTGAAACCAAAACCCTAAACCCTGAAATACTACGCCCTAAACCCTGAACCTAAACTACTACGCCCTAAACCTTAAGCCTATAAACCCTAAACCCTAAACCGACTGCTGTCCCCAAGGAACCCGCGCCACTTACCGCATGCCTGTCAGCCGGACTCAAAGCACGAGAAGGAGGTGGGCGGTGGATGCATGTGGCATTCTCAGGGTTTTACCTCCAGTCTCCACTGTAGTTCCTAGTTCCTTCCTTTGGCTTAACCAATTTTTGCATTAAGGATCCTAAGAGATAACACCAAAATCGAACTATAACTACAATGGAGACTATAGGTACATGCCTCCATGACCTTACGACATGTTATGACTTGTGACG